CCGTAAAAAAGAAAATGGAGCACTTCCATCCTTGCAGATTGTTTTCTACTTATTTTTATAGTACCCCGTGCGGCAACAGAGGCAGTATGTTCAAAGTGGACTGGGACCAGTCCAAGACGATCAGCTATTGTCCAGGAGAAAAGGGATCATTTTAGACAGGTGGTCCTCTCGTACAGTGTCGTTATATGATAAAGAATAAAATCTCCCAAGGTGGAAGTGGGAAGTCTGGCTCTTAATGTTGTTTTAGAAAACCTGCTCACCTCTTTAACCTCAACAACGCAAAGTCTGCTTCGACTATCCAGACACCCCAGAAATAGCAGTTCACAAGAGAGTGACAAACACCCAAAAGAAGCAGAGGAAAATGACGACAGTAAAGACGAGGAATAAACAAGCAGCAGTTCCCCCTATGTTGTTCCGGCACAGTACGAGCATGACATTGATAAATCAGCCCATTTACAATTCTACTGTATATTAGAACATGCTAATATTCCCCCTTTTGGGAATGGCCTAAAGACACCTCAGTCTGTAGCACTGCCCTGGAGGGAATCTTAATCAATAATCTAAATGTGTTGATGGAGGCATTAGACCTATACCATATCACAATTTCAAGTGGAAAGTCATCGTTTGTTCAGGTGATTTTCTTGGACAGGTGGCCGTTAGAGCAGGTTCGATTAAATTAGAGATATCACAATACTCAATTGACTTTAACCATAGTGGAACGCGTTATTTTAGAGGGGGGGGAGAGGGGGTTGTTGGGTGCGAGCAAGTTGGGGCTTCCTGGTGAGGGTAGGCTTCTTTCTTTTCGTGCCATCAGTCAGTTCATGATCATGATGTCTTGTCCCCATTCATACTGTGTCTCCCACGGGCTGAGTGCTTTGTTCAAATCGACATTTCGCTACCTCAGAATTACGAAGATCTATAGATGCTCAGTACGTCGGTTTGAGAAATTTGACTTCAAAGATTTTGAGTTTCACATCATGTCAGGTTTTTTTTTCGAATTCAGTTCTTTGAATATCTTGAAAAAAACTCCGAATAATTTTACGATTTTAATCGAGTAGACATAACGGTTTCTGGCCTCATGGTTTTAGTAACTCAAAAAGACAAACAAGTGTCAGATAGAACTGTGTAATTCTGAGGTAACGATTTGGTCACAAAATCTCTTTGTGAATATCCTATAGTCCTAGGTGAAAACTTTAGATCACATAAAAGAATTATGGATCCTCTACGACAGTACTATACAAAATAGATATAAACGCGTCATTTAAATTGTGCTTATAGCTCTAGTTTAGAGACTCCAAAAAGACTGAAGCACAGTTACATGAAAGAGGCTGGACATAAGATACCCCTTTGTCTCAGCTCTAAATGTCAGTATGATTATAAAACACACATACTCAAAACACAAACTCACACAGACACAAGTACAAACACACACACACACACACACA